CGTGATTTTATCACTTCCTTCACCCCCCAGCGCGTTTTATTATTTCTTTAATTCTGATTGGTGTTGGGCCCAGTGTGAAAGCGCTACCAGCACCCCCCTATTTCCTGGCCCAATGGGATTATAACTGGGGCGAGTTTCTAAATGCACCCCTCTTTCTCATTTAATTCAATTTTATTTTTCTTAATTCCATTTTATTTTACCAATTTTCATTAATTCATAAATAATTCATAAAAAATGCATTTTCATCCATTCTTTTTGCCATATTTTCATTAAAATGTCTAGAATATTATAGGAGAATAAATTTTCATTTTTAGTTTTATTTCATATTTTTTACATATTTTCTAAATAAATGTCATATTAAATAGATTCATTTCATGCATTATTTTCATGATTTTTGTTCTCTCACATGCTTTAATATTTTTTGATCACTCTTTTCATATTGTTTAGATGAGATATTCAACTTGTAGAAATATTTTAGTTCCCATTTTTAGAGGTTAATTTTAGGTGATTAATAAATGCTTGAATATCATGAGCAAAACTAGGGTTTTTTGGGTGACAACTTAGGAGTTTGATTTCATTCCCCTTAGGACTTAGGATTTAAATAGATTAGTTATGGGACTATATGGGTTATGGGTAGTTATTAGATCCCTTAGAAAAATTAGGATTCCCCTACTGCTATTATTACTGTCTGTATATCTGTTGTCTGGTGTGGTGTGCCCTCTGGGGTTTATTGATTGTTTGTATGGGTATTGGGTTTGTCTGGGGCCCTGGGGAAGCTGAAGATTTGTGAAGATGAAGCTATTGGAGATTCAAAGATTGAAGATCAACTGTCAGAGTTGAGGAGGAGTTTCTTGCTATCAGTTGCTGAGGAGACTAGAGTTTAGGAGCTAGGCAGAGCTCTAGATTAGAAAGATTGTTTCTCAAACATGGATTGCCTTGTCTGCATCCATTCTTCTCTGTGATTCAGAGTCTCTCTAAGACACTCACCCCCTTCCTTTGGAAGGCTTGGTGATAGTGTCTATGAGATAGAACTCTTGAGAGAAAATGTCTCTTGTGTTAGAAGCAGTCTGTTCACCACCTTTGGTAGTCAGCTGATTGCTTAACACCCAATTCACTCTTGTGACTGATCCCTCATCCTGGAGGTTTGAGCTTGAAGAAAAGCCATTGCAGATGGAAGACTGATGATCAAAGCCCTTACCTGAAGGTCATGAAGATGGAGATTGATGCTTGTTGAAGCCTGTAGCTGATTGGAGATTGCTTGAAGCCAGTTGTTAATTCAGAGCTGCTGATGCTGTTTCTTTTGTTGTATTTCATTTGTTGATGTATTGATTGGTTTTCTGAACTGTATTGTTTGCTGTTTACCCTGTTGGGTTGAAAGTGAAGCCTGTTCACTTTCGCCTATTGTTTTCTAGGTTCGAGGTTGAGTGGGACTCCCTTGCCTCGCTTGTACTGTTGCATCCATGCATTTTACTGCTTTATTGTATATATCTGATTTTGTTTCTGTTTCTGCCTATCCCGTAGGATCTCTGTTTCTCTCTGTGCAAGAGAGGAGCATGATAGACACTAGGTCTTAACCCATGCATGATAACCTTAGGTTAGTTTGTTTCCCTTCGCAACCGTAGGTTAGAGTTCTGTCTCTTTCTTTCTCAAAACAAACAGAAAAACACATAAAGATTTCAAACACAATAAAAGACACTTCTTTCGTAAAGGAATGTGAACTCATCAAAGACGTCATTTTTGTCCTCTTGGACTGTTAATCAGAAAAACCTTTTTCAGAAGGACTAAAATCAACCAAGACAAGTTTGTGTCGTACGTGGCCCGAACTACGTTTGCTCTGATCTTTCATGCTGTATGAAAGTACGTAGGCATAGGATGCGATATCCTAGCGAGCAACCTTCCCCTCCTTTCCCGTAGGTAGGCGAACTACGTTGACTCTGATTTCTCGTTCCAGACGGGAATACGTAGGCATAAAGTGCGATACTTTGCCGAGTCATTTTTTTTATTATTTTCATTTTCTTTTCTGTTAACCCCAGACCTATAGTTTAGATAGAATAACAATCCATACCCGAAAACAAGCGTGGATCCCGTCGAGTACGACGGACGTGAGGGGTGCTAATACCTTCCCCTTGCGTAACCGACTCCCGAATCCAGGTTTTGGTTGCGACGACCATACCTTTCCCATGTTGTGCGAGGTTTACTCTGAGCGTTTCCTTTCCCTCCCGTGGGATAAATAACGCACGGTGGCGACTCTTCTGTTCAGCCGGCGCCGATTTTCGCAGTAGCGACAGTGGGTTCTTCTTAAAGATAGGAGCTGGTTGCAGTCCTGTTGGAGCTTGCAAGGATGCAGTGGATTGAGGCTTAGTCTAGGAGCTGGTTATCTGTTTGTGAGGTTCGAGATCCCGAAGTTTGAAGGGAGTTTATGGTACTTTCCTGAGGAAGGCACTATGAATGACTTTCATTCCTTCTTCTCACCTCTTTCGTAAGTATCCAATGATGTTGGAGCCAACTTGTGAGTTTAATTCCTCCTGAGGAGGGATGTAAACTGATCACATGTTGTTGAGCCACATGGGATACGATTCCTAAGTGGAAGCCCCCTAGTACTTTCCTGAGGAAGGTCCTATGGGTCTATTCATTTAGTTCCATTAGTTTATCTAGGACTTCTCAAGTATCCAGTGATGTTGGAGCCAACTTGTGAGTTTAATTCCTCCTGAGGAGGAATGTAAACTGATCACAGTTGTTGAGCCACGTAGGATACGATTCCTAAGTGTCAGCCTCCTAGTACTTTCCTGAGGAAGGTCCTATGGGTCTGTTCACTTAGTTCCCTTAGTGCATATAGGTTTTCTCAAGTATCCAGTGATGCCGGAGCCTTCATGTGAGTTTAATTTCTCCTGAGGAGGAATGTAAACTGATCACAGTTGTCGAGCCGCATAGGATATGACTCCTGGGTGGTAACCTCCTGGTACTTTCCTGAGGAAGGCACTATGAGCTTGTCTGCTTAGCTCCCTTTCTTTGGTAAGCTTGTTCTGAAGCTTGGAGGCTGGGATTGTTTCCTCTTGCTTAGGGTTTTGATTAGAATCTTTGCTTAGATCTTTGTTCAGGGTATTGTATAGAGTTTTGTTTAGAGATAGATTAGGAGCTTATGTCAGGTTTGTTAGGGGCCTTGCCCAAGAGTAGTTTCTTGTTTTGTAGATAGGGGCTTAGCAGGTTAGCTAGCCTTCTCTTTGGATTGTTTGACTTGTGTGATGTTATGTTGCATTAGACTTAGGTGTTCATCTAGATAGTTCTGAGTAGGTGCATCTTAGAAGTAGACTTTGTGTGCATGAGAAGTTGAGGTGGTCCTCCTTCTGCTTGTTTGTTATTGCGTGGCTTTGCTTGTTGGTATTCGGTAGAGCTGAGCTCCCTTGCCTTTGTGGTTTGCGGCCTTTGCGCCTTGTTTGTTTAGTCGTTGCATTCATGCATATTTTCAGTATTCCTTTACTTTGCAGTTTCTTGTTTGTAGTTTAGTCCTGTTGCCATGATCCCTTAGGAGCTCTGACTTCTCCGCTGCGGAGTCGTTATGATAGACATTAGGATGGTCAACCAGGTGTGACAGCAGTAGGTAGATTCCCCTTTCTCCGCTATAGTTCTAGGGTTTCTCTTTCCTTTCTGTAGGAGCTTTTGAGTAGCTTGATCCGTAGTTAGCTGAACTACAGCTGCTCTGATTCTTCGTACCAGACGAAGATATGTAGGCATAGGATGCGATATCCTAGCGAGCACACTAACAACTAACCTTTGTTCTCTCGCGGCTGTGCGATCGAGACTTTCCCGCTAACGACTAATTGTTATCCTTTTCTCCTGCCCGAGTGCATTTGAGACCAGATCATATTTGTAGGTTCCCGAGCCGTAGAGACCAGTTTGTTTTCTCACTGCTGTGAGAGAGCCCCCTGTTTACCCGTAGTTAGTCGAACTACGTTTGCTCTGATCTTTCATACCAGATGAAAGTACGTAGGCACAGGACGCGATGTCCTGGCGAGCAACCTTTTCCCCGTTTAGTCGTAGGTAGTCGAACTACGTTGACTCTGACTTTCCCATTGCACGAGGGAATACGTAGGCCCAGAACACCGTATGTTCTATCGAGTCCTGTCCTTTTATTTTCTTTTCAGACCAGCCATTAGCGTAGATAGATAACATACCCTTTTACCTATAAACATCAAGCGTGGATCCCATCGAGTACGATGGACGTGAGGGGTGCTAATACCTTCCCCTTGCGTAACCGACTCCCGAATCCAGGTTTTGGTTGCGATGACCATACCTTTTTCCCGTCTTTGCGAGGTTTACTTCGAGCGTTTCCTTTCCCGCTCTGAGGGATAAATAACGCACGGTGGCGACTCTCCTGTCAAGCCGGCGCCGATTTTCGCAGTAGCGACAGGCGTGTATTGATTGTAATGAATTTATTGATTATGTGAAGGACATATGATTGACACTACATAGACACATATTTGTTAGAGCATGGATTAATCGAGTGCTACATTTGGGTAACACCACGACTAATCGGTGTGTATTTATTTTTAGTATTTCTAAATTGTATATCTTTTTTGTATTTTTTAAAAATATTTTTAATATGTATTAATTTTAGGGTTGAGTCTGCTCATTGGAAGTTAAAGCAAATGTTGGGGAACAAATTGGTGACATGGTCAAATGTTGGGAGGCTATGAATGACAACTTAAAGTTACAACAGGGTAAAATTAGAGCTTCTTTTCAAAAGAGTTTTTATGAAGTTGAGCACGCCCACGTAAGTCCATTTTACAATAATTTACTTGGTTCAGTGTCTCGAGATGCATTGAGACGCATTGCTGAAGAGTTAAAACGAGTTGATTATGTTGGAACTAACAAGGAAATATGTTATTGTACTCTTAGAACAACCTACGGGATTACCTTGTGCTTGTAAGTTGACAGGATATAGAATTGATGGTATACCGATGCCAATAGATGATGTGCATGTTCATTGAAGAAAACTAAGTATGGAAGTTAAGTTGGATGAAGACTTAGAGGATGGATCAGAGGTGGATATGAGTAGTGCAATAGATGAGTTATGGAAAAGGTTTAAGTCACTGGATGCTGTTGGGAAAAAGGCATTAAAAAGTAGGGTTTTTGAACTTGCCTTCCCCACAATGACTTCTATGTGTCCACCACCTGAGAAAATAAAAACTAAAGGGGGAGTCAAGAAGAAAGGCAAAAAACCAGTAGGGTATGGTGTTTATAGAGACCCTTCGTATCATGAGTGTGTTGATCAAGCATGTCAACCATCACAAACTTCGAAGAAATCTCAACCATCACAGGCTTCACAAAAGAAATCTCAACCATCACAGGCTTCGAAGAAGTTAAAATTATCACAATCTTCACAGTCATCTAAGTAGTTCATCCTTCTGTTTCCTAATCACATCAGGTCATATATTGATGATGTAGTTAATGTTGTATCAGATGGTAATTGTGGATTTAGAGTCATTGCATCATTGCATGGATATGGTGAAGATGGTTGGCCAATGGTTCGTCCAGACTTGGGGTTGGAAATAATACATAATGAAAGATCAAGTTTGTATGTCAATTTATTTACTGATCAGTTAGCAGTAGTGAGAGAATCTTTGATGATAGATGCATTTGGTCCTCAACCACCACATAAGTGGTTAACTTTACCAGATATAGGTTACGTGATAGCGAATCGTTATAATGTTGTACTTGTTTGTTTAGGATTTGAATGCTGGACTTTCTTCCCTATGATAACTTCATTTTCACCAAATGTACCATTTTACTGCATTGGTTTTGTAAACACAAATCATTGGGTTCAGGTACTTAGTTATTTTTAGATAATGTGATTAAACCTAATTCTTTTTCATTATTTTTACTTAATATTTTGATTATTTTTTTATTTAGGTAAACATGAAAGAAGGGTTTCCATTGCCACCAGTGATAGTAGATTGGAAGAAGTTTCGTTCTCCAGCAGCAACATCTTGGATGCTAGGATTTGCAGGATGTCTACAATATTGGCAACAACTTATGCCTATATTACCAACGCATTATGAATTATAAATTATGTTACTCATTTTTAATTTCACGCTACAAATTAACACATAAACATAAACCAACTAGGTCAAATGAGTGTAAAAGTTAACACATTACCATAAATATAAGTTAACACGTCTAAAAGTTAACACATAACCATAATTATAAATATAAGTCAATGTGATCGAGCAATATGTAAAGCTTCGAACAACTCAGCAAACTGTGGATCATCCTCTTCAACACCAGCCTGTTGCAGATAACGATGAATCAATGAAGACACACGAGCCCAGTTAGAATCAGATGGTCCTGCTTCATAAACAGGAACTGGCACCTCTCTTGACGCATCACTATAGGGCGGTACTAGATGAGAACGGGAAACGCGATAATACTACTGAAGATATCCATCATCTGTCTCATATGGGGTGGTGGCCAGTGTTGTCAGACAAATCACATCCCAAACGCTCTAATGGTAACTAATCCACTCAACATCAATATCACCAGCCATCGTATAATCAAGAGGTGGATATGGAACATACTGCCTGTATCCAAACTGACGCATACATCTGTCAGGAAAGTATGGAACAATAGTGTCACCCCACCTCAGACACCCCTTATATAGACATAACTCATCAAACTGACGCCATACTCTATGATTCTCGAATGGACGCCATATGACATCGGCAGGTGTCAGCTCGTCCAGAATAGGTCGCAAGTCATCCACCTTCAGGACACCTTGCCTATAAGACCATCTCATAGCTCGAGGGAGACCCACATTATTAGCTAGTATCCAATTCTCTCCTTTTTTTCCAAGTGTTGGAAAATACTCATGAATCCAGCATTGTTACAAAATTAATACTGTTACTAAATTTAAAATAATTAATTATAACATAATAAACTAGATAAATTAAATTAATATACTAAATAAAATTAATTAAAACAAAATATACTAAATTAAAATAAATACCTGTAGGAGAGTCGGATAACCACCGAGCTGCTTACAACTGAATATGGAAGCATCTTCGAGATATCTATAGAGGGTAACCAACGCAGCTGCTCCCCAACTATATCTTGATAACCCTTCCAAGTCTATAAATAATGATAGGTATCATGCCTCGACAAGCGTAAACGTCTTTTTCCAGTGGAACCCACTAACATCAACAGATAATCTCTAGTTGCATAATCTCATCTAGAAGCAGCTCTATGCTCTACAAATCGGTCATATAACCATTCCAACTTATAATAAGAACCCCTGCAGTCACAGACTTGTTGTTGTGCCACTCTCTATGACACTTCTAAGTAATCAACAACCTACTCAATAACAAGTCCTTCATTGATATCATGAGGGCTCCAGAAGACTCCTCTGATGGGCAAGTGAAGCAGGCAAGAGACGTCATCTAGAGTAATCGTCATCTCACCAAACGACATGTGAAATGAAGATGTCTCTAGATGCCATCTCTCTGCAAATGCGGAAACCAGGTTCGTGTCTATCTTTGTCAAACTGGTTCTCTGAAGTGAAGCTAGATCAGACCTAGATATCCAACACTCCATCTCTCTTGGTAGTTGTAGTAGAACCATCTGAATCAACTTCAACCCATGTCCTGCTACCTTTAACACTTTCTTCGAACCTTTCTCTTGAAAACAATTAAAAGTAAATATATTATAAAATTCAACATTAAAAATTCAAATTTTATTCAATATTAAATGATTTTCGTTTACTTACCTCACCGAACCATATATGTCTAGCAATATGATGTTCGTACTTAACTAAAAGAGAGGTATCATACGGTCCTCCTGGATATCCAACAGGCTCGGTTGCTGATGCAGATGCATCAGTATGCTCTTCTTCAGCCATTCTTGATGATTCGCCCGTCCTAGTCCACAAAAAGGGATCCTACCGTCTCTGCCTCGTGTGCGCACCACTGCCAAAATAAAAACATAAAAAAAACTAAAAATTAAAAAAAATAAAAATTAAAACAATATGAACCAAAAGACTTGCAAAAAGACTTCCGGTGAAAATTAAAAAACTCATAATACCGGAAGACATACTTAAAGTCTTCCGGTAAACGAAAAAAAAAACAAAAATTGCAAGACTTACTCTAAGAGTTCCGGTATATATTTTCTGAACCGGAAGACTTCTGAAATGTGTTCCGGTTTACACTTTATGTACCGGAAGACTTATGCTAAGTGTTCCAGTTTGCGGATGAAAAATGGTAGTTCCAGAAGTCTTCAAATGCAAATGAAATGGAAAAGTAAAATTTTTAAAATTATAACTATTTATACGAGGGTATTTTGGTCCAAACATTTTTAGTGTAGGGGTATGGGTATAGTTGTAGGGGTATGGGGTAAAATTTCTTGAGTTTTGATCCCCCACCTTTCTTTTTTATTTATGTAGTCGTGCCATTTTAGAGAGGTGATGGGCTTTATGCCCACATGATCCTCATTCGTTCCATATACATCACTCTTTTGACTCTTCAACACCTCTCATTTTTCGTCTTTTTTTTTTCTCTTGTTTTGTGATTAGTTTTTTTTTCATAATTATTTTGATGCTCTTTTATATTTTTTTATGGTTAATCTCTATTTATATATTATTAGTGTTTGTTAATAATCTTGTAAAATCTTTTTATTAAATTTTTTTAGTTAGTTTCTTTATAAACAATACTTTGTTAAGATTTTAGCATTTTGTTAATCTTAAAAAAAGCTTTTTTTGATATTATTTTGAAAATTTTATTAATAATTCTGTTAATTATTTCAGTTATCGCTTTGTTTAGATTTATTTCTTGATTTACTTTTCATTTCTACCTTGGTTCTCATCTTCGTTTTTTCTTTTTCAATCTTGGTCAATGAAGTCTAAATATCGCGAATGTTGGTTAATTGAGGTTGCTTAACCTTCATTATTTCAAATCTGTAGTGAATGATGATTGAGATCATTTCCTATACTTTAGGATCATGATAGGTTACCTTCGATTAATTAACTCAAGTTTGTGATTAAGACGAGACCATTCGCTTTTCTTTTCGTGTGGCACGATTTATTTGTAAAATGATCCTCAATATCATCTCTTTATCGTGTTTTAGCACAAATATCAACTTGCGCGACCTCCTATAGTATGATCTTCATCATGGATCTTACTACGACGGTTTAGCGCTACAGTCAACCCGATTCAAAGCAATAACGACTAACCACTAACTTTAATTTTAAATATCTTGATCTTATTATCATTGTTCATATACTATTGATTATATAATCTTGATATTTATCTTGTCATATTATCCATATCATATTCATTATATTCATCTTGTTCATATCTTGTTCAAACTTATTCAAAACACATTAACAATCATCGAAACCATAAACGCCTAAATTGGTGGACTGTTGGTTACTTTTCCGAGCAGCGGAGCTTGGACTTTGTACAGAAACCCTAACTTGGAGATTTTGTCTGACCCTTGCTCAAGGCTTAGTTTAGGACACCTTGCACATACACGACTTCCTCTTGGGCTACCTGACAATAAATCCTTTTATTTCGTGCAATCCCGTGTAACTTACATGTACCCCACTCCCATTCCGATGTACGCATTCGTATTGCTTTGATTGTGATTTGTTCACTAGGAGAACCCCTAGGGACTAGCATAGGCTAAAACATTTTCAAACTAATTCTTGATTCGTTGTCGAGCCATTTTCAAACACCCCTCGTAAGTCAATTTCTCGTAAGCATTTGCCATCAATCTATTGCACACACTCTCACATTTCATCGTGATTTCATTACTAGGAGTACCCCTAGGGACTAGGATCGATTCTCACCCTTTTCAACCAAACCCTCAATTCATCATCAATCCATTCAAACCAACCTCTTTTAACCAACTTATTCACACGCAAATACAATCAAAACCTTGATCCAACATCAAGCGGATATTCTCAATCAAACTATCAAAATGATTAACAACTATCGAAACTCGTTCAAGGTGAAAAGGAGAGGGATTTAGCCTTTGATCTCTCTTCAGATGTTTGGATACGAGTTCTCTTACTCGTGTGTGAGCAATTGACACCTCTAAAACACATCCAACTCGATAACATTCAAACTATCTTCCAACCACTCATTGTCCAAAACACTCTTCAAACAAAACTTCTTTTCAAGATGAAAAAGAGAGAGAGTCACGGCTTTGACTCACTCTCCCGATTACTTGGGTCCAAAAAGCCTTTCTTAAGCCTCGAGTAATCATCATCCAAGCCCAACTTCAACATATTAACCCCTTATCTTTTCGCGGTCGTCTCCACGAACTACGGACGCTCTGATTCTTCATTCTCGTCTGAATGTAAGATACGTAGGCACAAGATTGTGATGATATTGGTGAGCTAACTTCTATTTATCTTATGTTTCCCCTCTAACCTTTCTCGTATTCGAACTACAAGCGCTCTAGTTTCTTATTCTCGTCCGAATGAGCATATTTAGACACAAGGGCCCCAATCCTTGCCTAACACCCTAACCTAAAACCACCCTTTTTCCCCTTAGCATCATTTCCTTTTATCTCACCGTTTCACATTTATCATTAAGAATAAAATAAATAAGCTTAGCTCATGCTCATCACAATTCGAATGAAGAGGTTTCCGTTGAGTACAACGGACGTGAGGGGTGCTAATACCTTCCCCTTGCGTAACTAACTCCCAAACCCAAAACTTGGTTGCGAAGATCATGTTCTTATCTTATCTTAAAGGTTTTCTTGACATTTTCCTTTCCCTCTTTTGAGATAAATAAAGTTCGGTGACGACTCTGTCGAACCTCATATTCGCGCCTTTCGCGCGAGGGTCGTGTTCTCGATTGTATTTTTTGAGGTGCGACATTGACATAACATCGAATGCAAGTGGAACAAAATGGTGTATTGCTTTGAATAAGATGACACAAATTGATTTACAAAATGTGGTAGATTGGGCATATGGTACTTCTTACAATGTGGATTGTACTGATATCTAACCTAGTCAACCTTGTGTTATACTTATCTGGTGTAACAAATTATTTGTTATTATCAAAGCATTT